AATAAAGCTGTTTTTTTTTCTCATAACAGTACCAGGGCTTGAACTCAGGACTGTTTGCTCTTGCTTGGCTTTCTTGCTCACAGCTGGTGTTCTACAACTTGATTCATATCTCTAGTCTGGCATTTTGTTGGTTAATTGGAGAAGGAATTTTACAGACATGAACCACCTCTAGGTCTCAGCCTCTTGAGTAGCTAGTATTACAGGTATGAGGCACTGGTGCCTGGCATTGTAATATAGTTTCTATAGCATTTCTTCTGTCTTTCACGTTTGCAGAAACATTCATGCAGCCTCTGATCTTGTTCATTGTTGGTGTTTGCATTAACAGACATTGCTGATAAAGCAATAGTTTACTTTTTAGACATGAAATGTTGGTTATCTTGAACAAATACATATGCCTGAATAAATACATATAGTCATGTTGGTATTATGTCATGTCTCAGGAAAGGTTTTGTGTACACTTTTACTATTCCACACATTAAAATAGATTAAATGTTTAGCTAGCATTTATAAATGGACATTATTTCTTTTTAAAGTAGCATGGAGTAACAGAAATCTATTTGGTATATTTGCATTTAATATCTTCAGACATAAAAATTAATATTTATGACACTGAAATTCTGTTTCATGCTTTTTTGGTGATCTTACCTTGAGAAAGCAAAATATAGGGATCATCACTTTAATAGTCTAGAAATTTTATGGTTTCTGACTATGTCAACTCCATTAGCAATCGCTACTCTCTAGTTTGCTTTGTGTAGCTTATCTTTCCTTTCTTGCGTAAGAACTCTGTGGATGATATGTGAAAGTTATTCTGTCAAAGTAGTTATCATTGCTATAATATTGTGTATGTCTCTGTGTGTGTTTGATATTAAAAGAGGATTGCAATTGTAGCTGAAAGCTCTACTCTTAAGTACATCCCTCTGGATTTTCATCCTAGTTTGACAGGCATACTTTCCACTCCCTGAATTAGAGGTAGAGTTTTAATGGTCTTGGCTCTATCTTTTTAGTGGACTTTACCTCTAGCAATATGTCTAGGGAAGCAGTTGTGATTTTGTAATGTTGTTTACTCCTAATGCTGACTAGTTTAAATCTGTAGGATCAGAGGATGAAGTAGGGTAGTTTTACACATGAAAACCTTGTGTTCTACTAACTTAATCAGGAGGCTGAAAAATTTATTCATTCTTCAGAGTAAATCTGCTGATCTATCAGATATGGATGACATCTACCTAATTATAGGGGCATTTAGGATTTATTAGTTATCTTAGGTAAGGCAGAAAAGCATAAACATTTTACTTGTTTCCAGGTGCCTTTTAAGGTTTGCATTGCCTACTTTTTTTTCTTTGAATCCCTTTAACTTTTCTTTCTTTCTCTTTTTTTCTTTCTTTCTTTCTCTCTTTCTTTCTTTCCCTTCCTTCCTTCCTTCCTTCCCTACCTCCCTACCTCCATCCCTCTCTCTCTCTCTCTCTCTCTCTCTTTCTTTCTTCCTATCTATCTCTGAATTTACCCCTTGTAGAAATCTCAGTGAAGTGGTAAAATGTTCTTTTGTGTCTGTTTTTGTTTTCCACTTAGCATAATATTTTCCAGATTAATGAGTATTATATCATGTGTCAAAATTTGTTTGTTTGTCTTGAGGCTTGAATTCAGGGCTTGGGTGCTGTTCCTGAGCTTTGTTTGCTCAATGCTAGTGCATTACTGTTGAGCCACAATTCTGTTTTTGGCTTTTTGGAGATTAACTGGAGATAAGAGTCTCGGACTTTACTTCCTGGGCTGGCTTCCAGCCATGATCCTCAGATCTCAGGCTCCTGAGTAGCTAGGATTACAAGTAAGCCACCAGCACCCAGCTATGTGTCAGAATTTTATGTCTTTGAAAGCTTCATAGCTTTCTATTGTGTGCATATACCATTTTGTTTATCCATTTATTTGTTGTTAGGTATTTGGGTTATTTCTACCTGTTGGCTCTTGTGAATAGCACTGCTATGAACACGGTGTAAAAATCTCTATTTGACTTCATACCTTCAGTTCTTTTGAGTATATACTTAGAAATAGAAATGTAGGCACCTATGGTAATTGTGTTAATATTTTGAGTAACTGGTATACTTCTTTCCACAGTAATTGCACCATTTTACATTTTGGCCAGTAGTTTTTTTCAGTTTTCCCACACCATTGCCAACTCTTTGTTTGTTTGTTTATTTATTTATTTGCCATCATAATGAGTATGCCATAGTGTCTCATTCTTACTTTGATTAGTCATATCTCTAATGACTACTAATGCTGAACATCTTTTATGGAAGATCAAGGTCTGCCATGGTCACATCTTGGCTTGCTGGTATGGAGATATTTCCTTTTATTTTTATTTTTTTTAGTATTTAAATTATATCAAGGTATTTTTCAAGTTGACATAATTCTATTTAGACACAGCAGCCAAAGTAATTCTTTTCTGAACATAAGTCAGAACCCTGTTATTCCTCTGCACACAGCATTCCACTGGCTTCTTTTCTCAAAGGAGAGTCCATACTGATTTCCTATTCCCTGAGTAACCTGTGTCTCTGCTACTACTCTAAGTCCTGCTCCCAGATATTTCCTTTTATTTTATTTTATTTTTTTTTGGTCCTGTCTTGGGGCCTAAACTCTTGGCCTGGGTGCTGTCCCTCAGCTCTTCAGCTCAAGGCTAGCACTCTACCACTTGAGCCACAGCGCCACTTCCGGCTTTTTTTTCCTGCTTATGTGGTGCTGAGGAATCGAACCCAGGGCCTTAAGCATGCTTAAGGCGACCACTGAGCCACCCTCCCAGCCCCAGATATTTCCTTTTATAAGGGTACTAAATCATAATGCATTAGGGCCCCACTCATATGATATTATTTAACTTTAATTACCTCTATAAAGACTCTATGTCCAAATGTAGTTAGATTGGCAATTAAAGTTTCAGTATGTAAATGTTAGGTCCTGGGGAGAGGCACAAAGTTTCAATCCACAACATAGGAAGTCTTGTTGACTTTCTTGCCTATTTCTAATTCCTCAACTGTGTGAGTGGTGCTGGAAGCCTGGTAGACGGATTCATTTTTAGTCTAGAAAGAAAGAAGAGAGGCATGGAGAAGGAGAGGGAGAGGGAGGGAGAAGAGTGGAAAAGAGATTTTACAGTTTAAGTGCATAGGGAACAAAGAAACCACCCTGATGTCTAATAATGTGTTAGCACAGAGTTGACTGTATTGGAAGGGTATCTATTTCTTGATCACTTACAATATTGTCATCACATAAGGCAATCTTTTGCCCCTCTAAGTAAATCAAGGGGACTCACAAAAGGGCAATTGAGCATAAGGAAGAAATAGTCACTTTTAAGACTGTAGTTATTAACCTGAGTAATCAAGTAGAAAGAGTAACTAAAGTCGCTATTTAAGTAAAACCAGTAAATAAAGACACTGAAGCAAAGGAATTGTATTGTATATGACTTCTTATTTTCAGTGCTAGAAGCTAAAAGATGGTGGAATGCAGATCATTAAAGGGGAAGAGATTTTACCACCCCATAATCTCAAACCATGTAAAATATCTTTCATCTGCAAGGGTGAAGCATATTCCTGGACATATAATAAGACCATAGTTCAGAAAACTATGCAACAGTTACAAAGAAAAAAATAAATCTCTGAAATCTCTGTAACTAACATGTAGACATTAGATGGATAGAGTATTGATAAAAGTACTAAAAGGGCTGGGTGTTGGTAGTTCATCCCTGAAATCCTAGCTACTCAAGAGGCTGAGATCTGAGGATCACAGTTTGAATCTAGCTCTGGCACAAAAGTCTGTGGGACTCTTACCTCCAATTAATCACCAAAAAGCCAGAAATGGAACTTTGGCCTAAGTGATAGAGTACTAGCCTTGAGCAAAAACGCTTAGGCACCATGCCCAGACTCTTGAGTTCAAGCCCCAGGACTGGTAGAATACTCGAACACTTGCCTAGTGTATGAAAGTCCCTGGTTTACATCCCCATCACCACAAAAAACCTAAGACTGTAGTTAAAAGGGACTAAATGAGGCTGGGAATGTGGTTTAGTGGTAGAGTGATTGCCTAGCATGAAGCCTTGGATTCAATTCCTCAGTACCACATAAACAGAAAAGGCTGGAAATGGCACTGTGGCTCAAGTGATAGAATGCTAGCCTTGAGCAAAAGAAGCTCAGGGACAGAGCTTAGGCCCTGAGTTCAAGCCCCACTACTGTCAAGAAAAAAGGGGGAACCAAATGCAGGGAATTTATAATACATAATACAGGGATATATTGTTTTAACAAAACTTGAGTCGAGGGAGTAGCAGTTGTGTGGGAATGTACAGAGTGGGATTGATTAAGTCTTTTACATGGCTCATTAATATTTTAAATTATATATTTTCAGTGAGTGAGGGCTGTTTACTAGGGAGAATAAATGGATGATTTGCTTACTTATGAGAAATATGGTTTTGCTTTTGAGTATCATCAGTAAAAGGCTGTAAACCACTAGTAAAATGCTAAACGATGGCCAAGTGTTGTGACTCAGGTCTTTAGTCTTGGGTTTGTGGGAGGTGGTGATCAGGAGAATCTTATTTTGAGAGAGTCTGTGCAAAAAGCAAAACCACCATCTCAATTTATGACCCAAGGGTGAGGTTACACATTGAAACTCCATCCCCAAGGGAGGCTTAAATAGGATTGCTATTCTGGCTGGCCTGAGATAAAACAGGATATTTTGTTTGAAACCTAGCTAATGGCTCAGGGCATGATCCTCCTTCTCCTGATACCCCACATCCAACAGAGGCTATTGATAGGCTATGTAAGTGAGTTTATAACATAGTTATAAAATATAACGATTATAGCTCAGCCTCATAGGGTGAGTTAAAGGTTATCAGTGATTATATAGATTTTGAGAAAAAAAGTAGAAGGTATACACACACACACACACACCTAGAATAAAGCACACTAAAGCTAGTTAGGCATGTGCATAACAATTTCTATGACTTTAATTTGGAGCTTGTTCTTACATTTCAGGACCGGAAGTTAACCAAAGCTGAGCAACAAAGGTTCAAGGAAGAAGCAGAGATGTTGAAAGGTCTACAACATCCAAATATAGTTCGATTTTATGATTCCTGGGAATCAATATTGAAAGGAAAGAAATGTATTGTATTAGTGACTGAACTAATGACATCAGGAACCTTAAAGACGTAAGTTGACTCTGGTAGAGCCAACCAAGTTTTATTTGAAATAATCCTCAGAGAAATTACTATGCTGATGATTTATGCATAAGAGAACTGCGCGGGCAGTCAGGAGTTGAATCAAGCTGTTGGACTTACCTTAAAAGTGATCCCAAAATTTGCTTGCGGAATGACATTTCAAAGATTTTAGATGTGGTGTCATCAATAATTCTATAATGGTGCTAAAAGAAGCCCAAATAAAAGATTTGTGGCATTGCTGATGAGTTCTTGTTGGGTGTGCCTGCACTGGAGGTTGAACTCTAGACCTGGTGCTTTTCCACATTAGTTTCAGCTTTTTGTTGGTCATTTGGACATAGCAACCAGTCAGTCCTAAGATCTGAACCTCCTGGGCAGTGGTATGGCTTGAATTGTTTTCTTCAAAAAGGGCTGCCTTAGATTTCAAGAGAAATCTTGAGCTTCACTTTGATGGGCAGTGAAGGAATTATAACATATGAAAATGATCAAATAAAAATTTATTGACTTCAAACAAAAAAAAAAGAAATAATCCTCAGGAGTCATAAAAGTGGTTTATAAATGAAGTAACTTTTTGGGATGGGTACTAGTGGCTCACGCTCGTAATCCTAGTTACTCACAAGTCTGAGATCTGAGGATCCTGGATCAAAGCACCAAAACAGCTGAAGTGGAGCTGTGGTTCCAGTGGTGGAGCCCTAGCCTTGAGCAAAAGAACTTAGGGACAAAGCCCAGGCCCTGAGGTTAAGCCCGAGGAAAAAAGGGCACAAAAGAAAAGGAATGGAAAGCAAAGCAAAGCAGAGCAAAGAAACAAATGTAACTTTTTGTGGTAGTACAGAAGTTTAAACTCAGAGCCTTTTGCATCATACTCAGAAGATCTACCTCTTGACTCATACTTCTAGGCCTATAAAATATTACTTGATTAAAAATTTAGAATGTGTTTTAGAGTAGATTAAAAGAAATTAAAAATTTGAAAACATCACGGAATTTTACAATTAAATTATTATGCAGAGAATATAATGTCATATTGTAAAATAAAATGATTAGGAGTTTGGCCAAATTTATAGTACTAGTCAGCAATAAATAATAATTACGGAGCCGGATGCTGGTGGCTCATTCCTATAATTCTACTTACTTAAGAGGCTGAGATCTGAGGATGTTTATTCAGAGCCAGCCCCAGCAGCAAAGTCCATGAGACTCTTCTCTCCAGTTAACCACCCAAAAAATGGCAGGAAATGGAGTTGTGGCTCAAGTGGTAGAGTGCTAGCTTTGAGCAAAAAGCTTATGGACAGTGCACACACACACAATATACTAATGATGAAGCTTTGTTTCTAATTGTGATTTTTGCTAGTAAAATCTACTGTATATAATTAAGTATGGAATATATTTTTCCTAGAACTTTTACACTAAATATGTAAACATATGATCATATCCTCTGGAGACTATATAATTATTAGGAAGTAGAGAAAGTCTTTTTTGGTGGTGCTAGATCATTTCATGTCTGTGTTGTAAAGGACATAATATAGTTAGGGGCCTCATTCTTGTTTGGCAAGTGCTCTACTACTTGAATCACAGGTACAGTCCTTTTTGCTTTAGTTATTTTTTTCAGATAGGGTCTTGTGGTTTTTCCTGGACTACCATTTGACTATATGATCCGCAATACTCAGCTCTCAGCTTCCCGAGTGTCTAGGATTAGATGCATGAGCCACCAGCTTCTAGCCCCTACGTTTCTTTTTAAGTTGTGCTTCTGTTCCCAAAGGCCACTCTGGCATAATTTTTTTTTTAATTAAAAACGGTATGCTTAGGATCTGGAGGCTTGGATTAAATGATAGAACACTTGCTTTGCGAGTGCAACGTCCCTGAATTTAAACCCCAGTTACCACCAAAGGAATAAAACAAAGACAAAAACAAAAACCCTATACTCAGTAGGACATCTTTTTTTGTGGAGGGAAGGTAAAATACTGGTGCGTGCGTGCGTGCGTGCGTGCGTGCGTGTGTGCGTGTGTGTGTTGGTATTAGGGCTTTTTGACTCACAGCTTTGGGCTTTCACTTGTTTTTTTTTCCTCTGTGATTTACCAATCGAGCCACAGCTCCACTTCCATTTTTTTTGCTGATTAATTGGAGATAAGAGTCTCATGGAATGCCGGGCCGCTGGTGGCTCACGCCTGTAATCCTAGCTACTCAGGAGGCTGAGATCTGAGGATCGCGGTTTAAAGCCAGCCCGGGCAGGAGAGACCGTGAGACTCCTATCTCCAATAAACCACCAGAAAACCGGAAGTGGCGCTGTAGCTCAAGTGGTAGAGCGCTCACCTTGAGCTGAAGAGCTGAGGGACAGCGCCCAGGCCCAGAGTTCAAGCCCCACGACCTACAAAAAAAAAAAAAGAGTCTCATGGATTTTATTGTCCTGGCTGGCTTTTTTCTTAAATCTCAGCCTTTCAAAGAGCTAAGATTATAGGTGTAAGCCAGTAGTACTTGGCTTTCAAATACATGGTTTGTTTTGGTTGGTCATGGGGCTTGAACTCTGGGCCTGGGCACTGTTCCTGAGCAATTCAGCTCAAGGCTAGCACTCCACCACTTGAGCCACAGTTCCACTTTGGTTTTCTGAGTGGTTTCTTGGAGATAAGAGTCTCATGGACTTTTCCTGCCTGGGCTGGCTTTGAACCAAGATCTCAGATCTCAGCCTCCTGAGTAGCTAGGATTAGAGGCGTGAGCCACCAGTGCCCAGCTCAAATACTTTTATTGAGAAACTGGGAAGTGAATCTAGAGGAGTTGAGCCTTGCAGTTATTGAAAGTTTGGAAATCTCATCTAATAATGTTGTCTTTGATTTAAATTGTTTTGCCATACCAGATAATAGAAAACAACCCAAGGATAACGATCATAGTGCATAAATGTTCAACTCACTAAAATGTTCATATAGTAACCTGGATATATTTGCTCATGCCTAGTCTTTTATCTCTTTGTATAGGTACTTAAAACGATTTAAAGTCATGAAACCAAAGGTCTTAAGGAGCTGGTGCAGACAAATTTTAAAGGGGTTACAGTTCTTGCACACGAGGACTCCTCCTATTATCCATCGAGATCTGAAGTGTGACAACATTTTCATCACAGGACCCACTGGATCTGTGAAGATTGGGGATCTAGGACTGGCCACCCTAATGCGCACATCATTTGCTAAAAGTGTCATTGGTGATTAATATTTTACAGTTTACTGATGGGGTATTTGAGAGATTTCTCAGTTGTAGGTCTAGAACAGAGGTGAGTCAACTCTGGCTCATGGGCCAAATTTGGTCCACTGCTTATTTTTATGAATCAAGTTTGATCAGAACACAGCTACACCCATTCATTTACAGGTTGTCTGTAGCTGTTTATCCACTATAGAAATAAATAGTTGCATAGTCTATATGGACTGCAAAGTCTAAAATATTTACTATCTGATACTTCACAGAAAAATTTACCAGTTACTGGTCTTGATTGTGAATTTGTTTTGAAATAGCTATTATATGTTCATTTATTTCACGGACATCTATATTTCTTTTGTAAGATATATGTCTGGATTATTGAAAGGTTCTGAGGATTTAAGGAAGTTTACTAAGTTAATCCAGAAAAAATTGAACCAATAAGGACATAAATAAAATCAGGTTTGAAAAATTAAAACCTAGTCTTGTGTATTAGAAATTATATCAATATGGAAAAGTAAGGAGATTCTTTAAGTATTTTGTATAGATAATACAACTTTTAAATTTATGAACTTATGTTGGGGAGCAGAAATTGGCATAGTTAATTTCTATGGGAAAAGGAACTTTGGATGATATGTATTGCTTATTGAAAATGTGGTTGTGGTATATTGTAGGAACTCCAGAATTTATGGCTCCAGAGATGTATGAAGAACACTATGATGAATCCGTAGATGTCTATGCTTTTGGCATGTGCATGTTGGAAATGGCTACTTCAGAGTACCCTTACTCTGAGTGCCAGAATGCAGCTCAAATATACCGTAAAGTAACCAGTGTAGGTATAACTTTATTCTTTTACTTCACAAATTGCTACATTTTAGGTTGAAGCTAGTAAGCCTGATTTAGTCTAATGTACTTTGGGGCTAGTGCTGTGGCCCAGTGATAGAATATTTGCCTAGTATGTTTAAGGCATGTATTTAAAATTACATAATATTTAAAATTACATAATTTCTTTATATTTTTATTGATTAGTGGACAATTAAGTTGTTTCCATAGCTTGACTATTGGGGATAATGCTGCAGCAATCATCATAACAGTACAGATAGTCCTTCAGCATGTTCTATGTTTAGCTTTTGTTGAGGAGTCTCCATTTGTCATAATAGTTGTAATAATGTACATTTCCTCCAACAGTATACAGGGATTCTTTTTTATTGCCAGTCTGGGGACTTGAACACAGGGCCTGGGCACTGTTCCTGAGCTTCTTTTGCCCAAGGCTAGCACTCTACCACTTGAGCCACATTGCTATTTCTGGCTTTTTGTGGTATTGAGGAATTGAACCCAAGGCTTCATGCATGCTAGGCAACTACTCTATCACTAAACCACATTCCCAGCCCTCCTCTTCCTATATATGCTCTACTGTCAAGCAATATCCCCAGTCAAAGGTTCCCTTTTCTTTTTTTCTTTTCTTTCTTTTCTTTCTTTCTTTCTTTCTTTCTTTCTTTCTTTCTTTCTTTCTTTCTTTCTTTCTTTCTTTCTTTCTTTCTTTCTTTCTTTCTCTCTTCTTTCTTTCTCTCTTCTTTCTTTCTTTCTCTCTCTCTTTCTTTCTTTCTCTCTCTTCTTTCTTTCTCTCTTCTTTCTTTCTCTCTTCTTTCTTTCTCTCTCTCTCTCTCTCTTTCTTCTTTCTGTCTTTCCTTCTTTCTTCCTTTCTTTTTTTTTGGTCCTGGGGCCTGGGTACTATTCCTGAGTTCCTTTTGCACAAAGCTAGCACTCTACCACTTGAGCCACAGTGCCACTTATGCCTTTTTCTGTAACTAATATGAGATAAGAGTCTCACGGACTTTCCTGCCTGGGCTGGCTTTGAACCACAATCCTCAGATCTCAGCCTCCTGAGGTGCTAGGATTACAGGCATGAGCCACTGGCACCCAGCCTAAGGTGCCATTTTCTACACATTCTTGCCAATACTTACCTTTCATCTTTTTGATAAGGTATATTCCTTTAATGTATGCTTGCATTCCTACAAAGATAGATGCAGTCTTCAATTTTTATTTTTTTTTTTTGTCAGTTGTGGGGCTTGAACTTGGCCCCTGGGCACTGTTCCAGAGCTCTTTTGCTCAACTAATGCTCTACCACTTTGAGCCATAGTTCCACTTCCAGTTTTTGTTATTTGGAGATAGAGTCTCACAGGGACTTTTCTGCCTGGGCTGTCTTTGAACTGTGGCTCTCAGATCTCAGACTCTTGAGTAGCTAGGATTACAGATGTGAACTACCAATCTTCAGTTTTTAAATGGTGAAATTCAAAGTCACATGTTTATGACTTGTCTACCTTCCCATAGCTGTTGATACTGATTAGTTTTTAAATGGTGAAATTCAAAGTCAGATGTTATGACTTGTCTACCTTCCCATAGCTGTTGATACTGATGGGTTTTGACCCCAAGTCTCTATGACTCTAGAGGTTTATAAAGGTAGACAATAAGATATAAGACCTAAATCCAGAATCTAGGCCACTCTATAGGACAAATGACATAGTTTTCCAACAAATTAATTTCATGGTAAAAAGGAGAGAAGCTTTTGCTGAATATAAGAGACTTTAGAGGAGTGTTGTGGTAGTAAATGTTTAACACCAAATTCTCTTGTGGAAAAGAAAACACCGATTTCTGGTATTTGCTGATTTTTGTAGTGTAAATGCTCCTACAATTGGTAATTTCAGGTTACCAGTATGACCTCAGTGAATGCTAAGTTGGGAAGAAATGTACAATTACATTCATTCTTTGGTATTTCCACCACATATACTCAATAGCTATAAACCTCGAATGCATAAATATGCAGGCATTCTATCACCTGACCACTCTATTAGTCCCTTTTTGCATTGACATAGGGTCTGTGATCTTCCTATTGTGTTTCTCTTTGTCACTGGAGTGTTAGGTGTGCAGCATTATGTCTAGCCATTGATTGAGATGGAATCTTGTGAACTATGCTCAGGCTGGCTTTAAACCACAATTTTCTGATTCCAGCTCTCAAGTAGTTAAGATTACAGGTTTGCACCGCTGTGTCTGGCTTAATAGCATGAGTTATTTAAAAAAGGAAAGAAAAAAAGAAAAGGTCCTGGCCAGGTGCTGGTGGCTCATGATTATAATCCTCTTCAGGAGGATTATTAAAACTCTTCAGGAGGCTGTTATAAGAAGAATATGGTTCAAAGCCAGTTTGGGTAGGAAAGTCTCCAGCTAACCACTAAAAGCCAAAAGTGGAGGTCAACTGGTAAAGCACCATCCTTGAGTGAAAAAAGCTAAGGGACCATGAGTTAAAACCATAGTACCAACAAGCAAACAAAAAAGGTCCTATGTGATGCCTTATATATACTTTAAAATATTACAAGATGTGAAAGATGTGGGAGTAGATAGCTGAAACAAGGTTTACAATGATGATTGCTATTGAAGGTGGTCATGGTTATATGGGATTTATTATGCTATTCTACTTTTTATTTAAAGTTTCAACGTTTTTATAAAAGGCAAAAAAAGCTATAATGTCTTTTTTTGTTGTTGTTCATGGGGCCTGAACTCTAGGCCTGAGCACTGTCTCTCAGCTCTTTAACTCAAGGCTAGTGCTCTATCACTTGAGCCACAGCACCACTTCCAGTTTTTTTTTTGCTTATGTAGTGCTGAGGAATTGAACCCAGGGCCTCATGCATCAAGGCAAGCACCCTACCACTGAGCTACCTTCCCAGCCCGTTTTTGCTTTTAACATGGAGAGTCATAAATACAAGTGTTTTGTACTTGATTTGTAAGTTTCAGTACACCAACTGTTTTCATTTAGGAGGAAAGAAAGACATTCTATTTACTCAAGGCTGGAACATGGGTAAGATGTCAGTGGAAAGGTTACAGAGGGTATAGTGTTGTATACATGTATAATATCAGTTATTTAGGGGGTTTCTGGCAGGAGGATTCTGAGTTTGAGGCCAGGCCAGGCACTCTGTCTCCAAGCAAACAAACAAGATATTTTTTTCTAATTCAAAAACCTAATTGTTATGCTATATGTGTATTTCAGGATTGTACATGTTCCCCTCTTTTATATTATAGTATCAGCATTGTCTATATCATTGGGATTATTTTTAGTACCTGTTTATGATCACATAAATAAAATATAATGTATAAATTTGCCTTTGTTGGGAGATTTAGATTATTTACAAATCGCAACATCTTTTTTGATTTTGCCGGTCCTGGGGCTTGAACTCAAGGCCTGGACACTGTCCCTGAGCTTCTTTTTGTTCAAGGCTAGCACTCTACCACTTGAGCCACAGCACCACTTCTGGCTTTTTCTGTTTATGTGATACTGAGGAATCGAACCCAGGACTTCATGCATGCTAGGCAAGCATTCTACCACTAAGGCACATTCTCAGTCAATGTTTTTTTTAAAATCAGTCCTGGGGCTTGACCTCAGGGCATGGGCACTGTCCCTGATCTTCTTTTGCTCAAGGCTAGCACTCTACCACTTGAGCCTCAGCACCATTTCTGTCTTTTTCTGTTTATGTGGTACTGAGGAATCAAACCCAGGGCTTCATGCATGCTAGGCAAGCACTCCACCACGAAGGCACATTCCCAGCCAGCAACATTTTTTTTGAGGAACTTATGTGCATGTATTTATCTCTTGTAATACTTGAATGTGGTTTTGTGATAAAAAAAAAATAATGTTTAGCTGGAAATGTGGGCCAGCAGTAGAGTGCCTGCCTAGCAAGTACAAGTCTCTGAGTTCAAACTCCTGTAACGAACTACCAAAAATGTTTAATTAATGTGCTGACTTGGGATTTCAAAGGCTTTATTAATGATAAGAAATCATTTTTCCTTTCCCAGGGTATAAAACCAGCCAGCTTCAATAAAGTCACTGATCCAGAAGTGAAAGAAATCATTGAAGGATGTATTCGTCAAAACAAATCTGAAAGGTAGGTGTAGTGTAGGGAAATGATGTAAGGTAATGGTTGCATTTTTCTCTTACTTTGTACTGAGTCTTTTTTTTTGGGGGGGGGGTCCGGTCCTGGGGCCTGAACTCTGGGCTTAGGAGCTGTCCCTCAGCTCTTCAGCTCAAGGCTAGCACTCTACCACTTGAGCCACAGCGCCACTTCCGGCTTGTTTTCTTTTTGCTTATGTGGTGCTGAGGAATCGAACCCAGGGCCTCATGCATGCAAGGCAAGCGCTCTACCACTGAGCTACCTTCCCAGCCCCTGAGTCATTTTTTTTACCTCATGCTTTTCCTTTGTAATGAGTTTGACCTTTGAGTGGGAGCCAAACTGTGTAGAGCAGTGTATCAGTGAATGTATTTGCTGGTTTAGAAATGCTGCTGTATCTTTTCAGTACTAGGGATTGAATCCAGGGCTTCTTACATATTAGGCAAGTGCTTTATAGTTTGAAAAATGCCCAGAGGCATGTTTGCCATTTTAGACTTTAATATCATATGCTGAATTATCCTTAAAATAACATTTAGGTTGTCTTTCTATATATATGTTGTGATAAACTTTCATCATCATTAGCTATCAGTTTAATAGTTAGTTGGCCCTCACAAGTTATCAAATAATTGAGACTAAACTTATTTTTTTTTTTTTGGTCCGGTCATGGGGTCTGAACTCTGGGCCTGGGCGCTGCCCTTCAGCTCTTCAGCTCAAGGCTAGCACTCTACCACTTGAGCCACAGCGCCATTTCTGGCTTTTTTCTTTTTGCTTATGTGGTGCTGAGGAATCGAACCCAGGGCCTCAGGCATGCAAGGCAAGCGCTCTACCACTGAGCCACCTTCCCAGCCCGAGACTAAACTTATATATTTGATCATATATCCTGCATCAAAAAAAATGGGAAGCTAAGATGATTACTTTTGTTCAAAAAGCATTATTGTAGGTTTATTTATATCACAATTTGTGTTTTTCTGTAGACCCTTTTTTAGTGTTAATTTTGACTTCCCTTTAATTTGAATCTTGGACAATTGCTTACAAGCTGGTAGGTTCATCTTTTGTTTTTCACCTCCACATTAATGATGATTATTAGTAAAGATGATCTATCCTATAGAATAATTCCATGAGTATGTCATTGACTCTCCCTGTTTGTTTGTTTGTTTGTTTTTGTTGCCAAGCTTGGGGCTTGCACTCAGGGCCTGGGCACTGTCCCTGAGCTTCTTTTGCTCAAGGCTAGTATTCTACTAGTTGAGCCGCAGCACCACTTCCAGCCTTTTCTGTTTATGTGGTCTGAGGAATTGAACCCAGGGCTTCATGCATGCTAGGCAAGCACTCTACCATTAAACCACATTCCCAGCCCCTTGTTTTGTTTCTTGCCAGTCCTGGAGCTTAAACTCTGGGCCTGGGCCTTATCCCTGGGCTTCTTTTGCTTAAAGCTAACACCCTACCACTTGACCCACAGTGCTACTTTTGGCTTTTTCTGTGATTAATTGGAGATAAGAGTCTCAAGGACTTTCCTGCTCATGCTGGCTTCAAAACACAATCCTCAGATTCCAGCCTCCTGAGAAGCTAGGATTACAGGCATGAGACACTTGTGCCTGGCTGTTTTGGTGTGTGTGTGTGTGTGTTCTTGGGGCTTGAACTCAGGTCCTTGGTGCTATACCTAGGTGCTCAAGGATAGCAGTTTACCACTTGAGTCACAACTGCCCTTCTGGCTTTCTGGTGGCTAATTAGAGATAATAGTTTGTCACAGACTTTCCTGGTCAGGCTAGTTTAGAACCTCAATCCTCAGATCTCAGCCTCTTGAGTAGATAGGATTATAGCATGAGCCACTGACGCCCAGTTTCTCCCTGTTTTTAATAGTGTCTACCCAATTTCAGAGTTGCATATCTCAGGTTGTATAAAACCACTAAAGAAAGACCTATTTAATATTGGCTTTATTATAAAACATTTTTAGTGTTTGTACAAAAAGATGATTGAATTATTAATTTTAGTGAAAATATGTAACTTAAGATATACCATTTTAGTCATTTGAAGTGTATAATTCAGTGGCATTAAGTACATTCCTTTGTATACAATCATTACCACTATCAGCTCCAGAATTTCTCATCATTCCATAGTAAAACTTCGTATGCACTAAACCTCAACTCCCCATTTCTTCTCTGTTCTCCCTTCTAACCCTGTGAATATGCCTGTTTTAGGATCCTCACATAAGTGAACCAAACAGTGTTTGTTCATTTGTGTTGACTTTATTTAATCTAACACAGATTTTTTTTTCAAGGTTGATTCCCATTGTAGCACATATTAGTTTTCCTCCTTTATTTTGTGCCAGTACTGGGTCTTGAATTCAGAGCCTGGTTGCTATCCCTTAGCTTTTTGGCTAAGGTTGGTGTTCTACTACTTGAGCCATACCTCCACTTCCACTTTTTTTCTTAATATATATATATTTTTTTTTATTGTAACGATACTGTACAGAGAGGTTACAGTTACATGAGCAATGTAATGAGCATTGTTACACCCTCCTTTGTTTTTCCCCTACCATCCCTTTCCTCCCCACCTCCCCAACTCCTCCATACCCCCTCCCCCCCAAAGTTGTAAAGTTCATTTTCACATATTGTCTTGTACATCCCATTGTTACAGTGGGTCATCCTGTATCCTTATTTATTTCCTTTACTCTCCCCATATTAGAATAATGTATATACAAGATGTAGGACACTGGCATCAAATACAGTGACAACAGTACCATGGGGAAAGAACATACAAAGAAACAAAAAAAATCACACAGTACATTATAAGTACATTAAAAACAGCAACAACAAAGATAAAACCTCTTGTGTCCCTATCTTGGGGTTCATTTCGCTTAGCATCATGTTATATGGTCATATGTACAGAGCTTTTGAACACTTGTGCTTGTCCTAGACGTATACCAGTTATTGCAGATAAGGGAAACCATGGGACTTATGTTTCTTTGGACCTGAATTACTTCACTTAATCCACTTCCAACTTTAAGGTAGTTAATTTGACATAAGACTCTCATGGACTCTCCTGTGCACTGGCTTCGAACTGGAATCCTTAGGTCTCAGCCTCTTGAATAGGTAGGAATATATTGCATAAGCCACTAGCATCCAGTCCCCCCTTTTTAAGACTGAATAATTGCCCAATTATATGAATAGGCTACATTTTATTTATAAATTTATTTGTTGATAGACATTTAGGTTATTTTTACCTTTTGCTTACTATGTGTTGTGCTCTATAAATGTTGGTATATGGCTAAGTTCCTGCTGTCAGATTTTTTGAATATATACCCAAGAGTGGAATTCCTGGATTATATGACAATTATATATTTTTATTTTTTATTTTTTTTTGTCAGTTGTGGGGCCTGAACTCTGGGCCTGGATGCTGTCTCTCAACTCTTCAGCTCAAGGCTATCACTCTACCACTTGAGCCACAGCACCACTTCTGGCTTTCTCTGCTTATGTAGTGCTAAGGAATTGAACCCAGGGCCTCATGCATGCAAGGCAAGCACTCTACCACTGAGCCACCTTCCCAGTCCCGACAATTCTATGTTTAACTATTTGAAGAACTGCCAAATTTTTATCACTGCACCTGCAACATTTTATATATGAAATCTGTAGTTTTTTTCCTGGTGGTGCTAGGGTTCAAACTCAGATCTTCATGCTTATTAGGCAGGCAGTACATCTTAGCACATTGATTATTTGTAAGATAAGGTTTCACTTTTTGCCTGGGCTGCCCTCATTACATGATCTTCCTGAATAGCTAGGGTTTAATGTTTATTTTTTTTCTTTTTTTTTTTTTATCTTTTTTGTGTTTAATGTTTATTAAATGATTTTCATCTTGTAACAGAAAAACTGATAACAAGATGTATGCTTTGTTTATTAGGTTGTCTATCAGAGATCTTTTAAACCATGCATTTTTTGCTGAGGACACAGGACTTAGGGTGGAGTTAGCAGAGGAAGATGATTGCTCAAATTCATCCCTGGCTCTAAGGCTATGGGTCGAAGACCCTAAGAAGTTGAAAGGAAAACACAAAGATAATGAAGCTATTGAATTCAGCTTCAATTTGGAAACAGATACACCTGAGGAAGTAGCATATGAAATGGTAAGTAAATCTTACTGTTCTTGGCCCCGTTTCCTGTTGTATCAGGACTGATTCCTTTCTCCTTTTCCCTCTCTTCTCCTTTTTTCTTTTCTTTTTGTACCAGACTTGGGGCTTGAACTCAGGGCCTGGACAGTGTCCCTGAATTTTTTGGTCAAGTCTAATGCGCTACCATTTGAATTTCAGTCCTTAGATCTCAGCCACCTGAGTAATTAGGATTATATAGCTACCAGTCCCTGGCTTATTCGTTTGTTTATTCATTCATTCATTCATTCTGGGCCTGTTCTGGGCTTGAACTCTGGGCCTGGGCACTGACCCTGAGCTTCTTTATGCTCATTAGTAGTACTCTACCACTTGAGCCACAGCTCCACTTCTGGCTTTGTGGTACCTAAAAGTCTCATGGACTTTTCTGCCTGATCTGGCTTTGAACTGAGATCCTCAGATCCCAGCCTTCTGAGTACCTAGGGTTACAGATGTGAGCCACCAGTTCTGGTCTCCTTTTGTTGTAATTTAAATTATTTTGCTATTATGAAGTATATATTAACAACAGTATATTAAATTTGTATGTACAAGACAAAGAAACACAAAATACTACTTAGAAAACAGAACGTTCATTGCCTTAGTAACCACTCTCATGTCCTTCCCAGCTGTATCTCATTCCTCATCATAGCAGACAATATTTGCCCTGACTTTCTCCTTACTCCTTCCTTTTGTTTTTCCTTGTAGTTTATCAAAGTGGAATATATTGTTTTGTTTTGAAAACCTAAATATAAAGAATGTATCTGTTCTTTACCCAATGGGAAATATTGGATGATTAGATAAAGAGTTCCTGGGGAGAATAAGCTTCCCAGAGTTTCTGGGTCATTGTCTGGCTTCAGCTTCCCTAAGGGTGTACAAGAACAGTTTCTGGGGAAATTAAAGCCTAAGGTCACCAGTGAGTATAGGGAAAGAAGCCCATGACTGGGCACTGGCAAGGCTTTTGTACGGACTAGAAATTAGTAGTCTGCTAATGGTTGGATGGGGAATAGGAGCTGGGGGGTGAGGGTATTCTGATATTTTTGTTTCTAATCTCTCCATACCCAGCCCCCACCCTCAGTAGCTCACAGAAGAAAAGTACTGAGGGGTAAAATGCCTGTCCACACCTGCTCCCTGCAGCTGTAGTGCTCCTGGGAGGGGTAGGCAGGACCAGCTGGGTCCTGTCTGAGCTGCTTTGACTCCTGACTTAAAGGACAGGTGGGACTGGGACAATGACAGTTGGATCTTGATGATGATAGCCCTGAACATGACTGCCATTCTAGTCACACTATTTTAATCTATAATTATTATCTTATGTCTCTGGTATGTAACTATGATCTGGGAGTTTTATTTAATGTTTTCTTATACTTCTCTTAGCTTCACTCCTATATTGGGTTTTATGTTTCCTAAATTCCATTTCTCTTTCCTGACTTATCTTTTTGCTTTAGTACACACTTTCTCTTGCATTGTTTTTATGTTATTGTTATTTTTGCTCTGTGTGTGTGTGTGTGTGTATGTGTGTGCACATGTGTGTGTGTGTGTTGGTCCTGGGTGTCAGTACTTCCTGGGGTTGATCTTGGGACCTGGGCACTATAACTGAGCCTTTTTGCTCAAGGCTAGCTCTCTACAACTTGATCCACAGCTTTACTTTCAGTTTTGGATGGTTAATTGGAAATACAAGAGTCTCACAAACTTTCCTTCTTGGGGTGGTTTCAAACTTTGATCTTCAGATCTAAGCCTCATAATAGCTAGGATTACAGGCATGAGCCACCAGTGCTTGGGTTGTTATTATTTTTATTGCAATACTAGGACTTGAGTTCGTCTCTTGCTTGCTGTACAATCATTCTACCATTTGAGCCATGCCTCTAGCCCTCTTCCAGCTTTTTGAAATTGTATGTTACATACTTTTATATTATTTTAATTATTTTCATGAACATAGTGTTTCAGAATGAATAAAAACAAGGTAAAATGATTTCAATTAAGATGTAAAAGGAATTTGAGATTAAAAAGGAATAAAATACATCCTCAATCCTACCAATATGCAGAGAGAGAAAAATCACAGTAAATACTGACTGTACAGTGTTTTCTGCCAGCTTGTTTTTTTTAAAAAAAGGGGATTCGTTCTAGCTCTCAAGTTTTCATTAGGGATCCATTTATTTCTCATCTGTAGAAGTTTGTATCTTCATTTTCTTCTTAGTGTTCTAAAATTTCACAATGATGTACCTTGGTTTGATATGTCATGGTTTAATGTTTCTTAATCTAGACCCCATCAACTTGTTAACCCAAGTATTTTGGTTTCTAAGAAAGGTGAAGTAGTTTGTTGATACTTTCTTCTTTGTCTTCTGTTTCTGGAACTACTGCTAATTTGGATGGTGGATCTTTTAGACTGTTGCTCCAATATTCATATCTTTTCTATTTTCTATTCCTTGGTCTGTTTGTTTGTCGTGGAGCTTGAACTTGGGCCTGGGCACTGTCCCTGAGCTCTTCTGCTCAGGCTAAGCAATCTACTACTTGAACTACAGTGCCACTTTCAGTTTTTCTGGTGGTTAATTGAAAATAAGAGTCTCATGGACTTTCCTGCTTGGGCTGGCTTTAAACCGTGATCTGATCCCAGCCTTCTGAATAGCAAGGATTTAGACCTTAGCCACCAATGCCCAGCTTCCTTGGTCTTTCATTCTCTACCCTGGAAGATAATAACAGCTTTAGTTTCTATCCCTTCTTTGAGTTTCATTTCTGCTATCATATATTTTTAATATATATATTTTATTGTAAATCTACCTTACAGAGGGGTTATAGTTACATGAGTAAGGTAATGAGTACATTTCCTTTTGAGTATTGTTCCCCCCTCCTTTGTTTTTCCCCTACCATCTCTTCCTTCCCCACGTCCCCAACTCCTCCCTCCCCCTCCCCAAGTTGTAAGGTTCCTTTTCAACATAGCGTCTTCTACTTCTCATTGTTACAATGGGTCAACATGTATCCTTGTTTAAGCATTTTGTTATTTCCCTTCCCCTCCCCAAATTAGAAAATGTATATACAATGTGCAGGGTACCAGAATCAAATACAGTGAAAACAGGGGTTATACCATGAGGGAAGAACATACAAAAGAAACAAAAAATTCACATAGTACATTATAAGTACATTAAAAACAACAGCAACAAAGAGCCTCTTGTGTCCCAATTTTGGGGTTCATTTCACTTAGAATCAGGTTATATGGTCATATGTACATAGCTTTTGACCTTTTCTACTTGTCTGGTAAGATTATCCTAGATGTATACTAGTTATTGCAAATAAGAGAAACCATGGGACCTATGTTTCTTTGGGTCTGGCTTATTTCACTTACTATAATTTTTTCCAAGTCTTTCCATTTCCTAACATATGGAGCGGTATCATTCTTTCTGTTGGAGGCATAGAATTCCATTATATATACACCATATTTTTTTGGTCCATTCATCTACTGAGGGGCATCTGGGTTGGCTCCATATCTTAGCTACAGTGAATAATGCTGCGTGCTATCATTTATTTGAACTTCAAAAATCTTTTAAAAATTTTGTCTGTTCCCCTTTTAAGTAGACATCTTTGTTCTCATAGGTGCAACCTCAAACCTCTATCAAGTTAGTGTGTATGTGTGTGTGTGTGTGTGTGTGTGTGTGTGTGTGTGTGTGTATGTGTATGTGTTCCTGTATTGTGGTTTGTGCATACCATGTGGCCAGCACTTTTTTGTTCTGGCTATTTATTTATTTTTTTTGGCTATTTATTTTTTTGTGCTGTTCCTGAGGCTTAAACTCAGAGCTTGGGTGCGGTCTCTGAATTTTTGTGCTCAAGGCTCTACTGCTTGAACCACGCAGCTCCACTTCCAGCTTATGGGTGGTTAATTGGAAACAAGAGTCTTTTTTAAAAAATAGGTTTTTATTGTGATAACACCATACAGGGGGTTACAATTACATGAGCAATGTAATGAGCACATTTCTTATCAAGCATTGTTACCTCCTCCTTTGTTTTCCCCCCACCATCCCTGCCCTCCCATCTCCACGACTACACCCCCCCCCCCCCGCCAAAGTTGTAAAGTTCGTTTTTCGACAGCGTCTTGTACATCTCATTGTTGCAATGGGTCCACCTGTATACGTATTTAAACAATTTGTTTTTTCCCTTCCCCTCCCCAAATTATACCAACATCAAATACAGTGAAAACAGGGGTTATACTGTGGGGGAGAGACATATAAAACAATAAAAAATATCACCTTATAAATACAATAGTAAGAAAGAAAAAAACCACTTGGGTCCTTACCTTGTGGTTCATTTCGCCTAACATCAACTTATCTGACCATTTCTACTTGTCTCAGACATATACTAGTAATTGCAAATAAGGGAAACCATGGGACCTATGTTTCTTTGGGCCTGCTTACTTCACTTAATATAATTTGTTCCAACTCTTTCCATTTCCTAACAAACGGGATAATGACATTCTTTCTGATGGAGGCGTAGAATTCCATTGTGTATACATACCACATTTTCTTGATCCATTCATGTACTGAGGGGCATCTGGGTTGGTTCCATATCTTAGCTATGGTAAATAATGCTGCAATAAACATAGTTGTGCTGGTAGCTTTAGTGTGGTCTTGTTTGTGATCATTTGGGTAAATGCCCAAAAGTGGGATTGCTGGGTCATAGAGGAGCTCCATGTGGGGTCTTTTGAGGAACCTCCATACTACTTCCCAAAGTGGTAGAACAAGTTTACACCCCCACCAACAGAAGGTTCCCTTCTGTCCACATCCCCTCCAGCATCTGTTGTTATTAGAGTTGGAAATAAGAGTCTTATGGACTTTATTGCCCAGGCTGGCTTTGAACCAGCCTCAGCCTCCTGAGTAGCTAGGATTGTAAGCATGAACTACCAGCTTTCCCCCCCAGCTGCCCTTAACTGCAGTCGTCCTATTTATGCTTTCTGTACTCTTTTGGGTTTTTTTTTTTTTTTTGATTGGTTGTGGGGCTTGAACTCTGGGTTTGGGCACTGTGTCTGAGCTCTTCAGTTCAAACAGTACATACCACCACACTCAACTCTTTTTAAAAAAGATTATTGTAAAGTTTATTAGGGGAGCCATATTTCCCCCAAGAGGGAGCACATGGCATCCATCCAGGTAGCAGGAAGAGTCTGGGGGTAGGAAGTGAGGTAGATGGGACCTCAGGTGGTCTGGGAGGAGAGAGAGAGGGGCCAACTGAAGTGCCGGAACTCCTGGGCAGAGAGGAGCTCAGGTCTGGGTGGAGCTGGGGACCAAAGGTGGGCATAATGCTCATATTCCCAGCTCTCCAACTCTTTTTTTTTTAGATGAAATGTGAAACTTTTTTTGCCTGGGTTATTCTGGAACCATGAAACTCCTTTCCTCTTTTTCTCCCTCCTTCCCTCTTTCCCTCGAACTTCTTCCTTTAATTTCTTTCAAAAAGTCTCACTTCAGGCTCTGAATTTGCTATGTAGGCTCACCTCTATCTTGAGATCCTCCTTCCACACATTGGGATTATAGGCATATGCCATTATATCCTGCCTGAGCCTGAAGTATTTCAGTAAGGCATGATAATGCTATAATTTCTCACTATGAAGCCTGGGATAGCCTGTAATTCCCAATCCTTTTGCCTTACCTTCCCAAGTGCTGGTATTATAGGTATGAACCACATGCCCTTCTTGCTTTACTTACATCCACATTACAAGCTATCACATGTACTTATGTCTGATTAAGGATTTTAGAAACAAATTAGCTATTATTTAATAGCATTTGGGAGTTGAGTTATAAAATAATGATGAGCATTAAAAGAAAGATCCAGTGTTTAATGTTAGGTAAATAGTTTATTTATTGTGTTTTGTTTGTAGGTCAAGTCTGGATTCTTCCATGAAAGTGATTCCAAAGCTGTTGCTAAATCTATTAGAGATCGAGTGACCCTGATTAAAAAGACAAGGGAGAAGAAGCCTGCTAGCTGTTCTGAAGAACGCCGGGATTCTCAGTGCAAGTCTACAGGGAATGTACTCCCTCAGCAACAGACTGCAACTTTGCCACCTGCTCCTGTTCAGCACAATGGGGCTGAAAGTGAAGAAACAGAAGTTGATCAACATGTTCGACAGCAACTTCTCCAGAGAAATCCACAGCAGCCCTGCTTCTCTGTTAGAGGTAAAACAGTTACACTTCATAAAAACAAATGAATGTCCAGTTATATTCCCTTATTTTTAAATGGCATGTGTGTGCTTTTCAGAGCCTTTGGCTATCTATTATTTTATCTAGCCTTTTACAAAGCCCCAGAAGTAGACACCAGGGAGTTTGTTCTCCCCACTCTCCCTCCTGTTCCTGAGCTTTGCTCAAAGCTAGCACACTACCATTTGCCACAGCTACACTTCCAGCTCTTTTGGTGGTTAATTGGAAATAAGAGTCTTACAGACTTTCTTGGCCAGGCTGACTTTAAACTGCGATCGCCAGCTCTCAGCCTCCTAAATACCTACCTGAGTAGCTAGGATTACAGGCATGAGCCACTGGCATCCAGTTCTATCCCCTTTTTAAAATTAAGTGGAACGTCTGTCAGTGGCTGTCTAATGTGTTAGTTGTAGGAGGATTATACTGTGCCAACTAATTTTGTTCACAGAAAAAAAATGACCTTGCTAACAAGTTAAGAGTCTTGCTAAATTTTAGTTGTTCATGGCTCTGATACTAAGGATGCTGAGATCTGAGGATTGTAGTTTGAAGCCAGTTGAGAAAGGAAAGTTTTTGTGACTCATCTCCAATTAAGCACCACAAAGCCGGAATTAGAGCTTTCTAGCCTTGAGCAAAAAAGCTCAGTAACAGTGCCCAAGCCCTGAAGTTGAATCCCCAGAACCAGCACAAAATAAATAGCCTAACATAAATCCTTTTTTTTTGGTTGGTTGTAGGGCTTGAACTCTGGGCCTGGGTGCTATCTCTCAGCTCTTGAGCTCAAGCACTCTACCTCTTGAGCCACAGCACCCCTTCCGGTTTTCTGCTGGTTTATTAGAGAGAAGAGTTTCATGGTCTTTCCTGCCTGGGCTGGCTTTGAACCAAGATCCTCAGATCTCAGCCTCCTGAGTAGCTAGGATTACAGGTGTGAGCCACCAGCGCCCGGCTAACAGAAATCTTTTTGTTATTGTTGTTGGTTGTGGGGCTTGAACTCTGGGCTTGGGCACTGTCCCTCAGCTCTTCAGCCCAAGGCTAGTGCTCTACCACTTGAGCCACAGCACCATTTCCGGTTTTCTGGTAGTTAATTGCAGATAAGAGTCTTATGGACTTTCCTGCCCTGCCCGGGCTGGCTTTGAACCTTCATCCTCAGATCTCAGCCTCCTGAGTAGCTAGGATTACAAGCGTGAGCCACCAGCACCCTGAGTAATATACATCTTTTAACAAAGATAATTTAAAACTAAAGATAAAATTTATTTCTTGGGCTGGGAAGGTGGCTCAGTGGTAGATTGCTTGCCTTGCATGCATGAGGCCCTGAGTTAAATTCCTCAGTACCACATGAACAGAAAAATCCAGAAGTGGCACTGTGGCTCAAATAGTAGAGCACTAGCCTTGAGCTGAAGAGCTGAGGGACAGTGCCCAGGCCCAGAGTTTAGGCCCCACAACCAACAACAACAAAAAAATTATTTATCGAGAAAGAATTTTCTAGATGTTGAAACAATTATCATTTTAGGCAGTGTTATAAACATAAAATCTCTAGTTTTTTCTGCTGTAATTGACTGTGTAAAGACATAGTACTTGGGGCTGGGAAGGTGGCTCAGTGGTAGAGCGCTTGCCTTGCATGCCTGAGGCCTTGGGTTCGATTCCTCAGCACCACATAAGCAAAAAAGAAAAAAGCCGGAAGTGGCGCTGTGGCTCAAGTGGTAGAGTGCTAGCCTTGAGCTGAAGAGCTGAGGGACAGCGCCCAGGCCCAGAGTTCAGGCCCCACGACAGGACCCTCTGCTCACCCCCAAAAGACATAGTACTTACATAGAAAATAATCAATTTTTTTTTGCAAAAATAGTATTTTTCTTCCATTTCTAGAAGAGAATATGACACTTAAATTAAAAAAAAATCTTTGTGTATGGGGTAGGTATTAGAGCTTGAATTCAGGTCCTAGGCACTATCCTTTACCTTTTTCCACTCAAGGTTGGTGCTCTACCACTTGAATCACTTCTCTACTTTCAACATCTTAGTGGTTAGAGATGAGCCTCAGGTACTATCCTGCCTAAGCTGGCTTTGAACCATGATCCTCAGATCTCAGCCTCTAGAGTAACTAGGACTAGCCGGGATTACAGGCGTGAACCAGTGATGCCCCACATGAGATCTGTGTGTGTGTATGTGTATATGCGTATGTGGCCATTGGTCTAATCCAGGGCCTTGCACATGTTAGACAAACAATTGATCACTGAGCTATATCACCAATCCTGGGGTTGATTTTTTTCTTTTTTCTTTTTTTTTTTTTTTTTGCAGTAACTGGAGTTTGAACTCAGGGCCTCCAGCACACTTGGCTTGATTTCTCAGCTTACCCTGTATACTGTACCTCTTGAGCCATGCCTCCAGATTATGAAGTTGATTTTTATGTGCTTGTATTTAGGTTTGTTTTTTAAAGAAAAAATTCATGCTGGGGAAGATAGGTGTGGTATTGTTTGCCTAGAATCCCAGCTTTGGGGAGGCTGAAACAAGAGCACTGAGAGTTTGAGGCTAGCCTGGCTATAAACCAAGACCTTGTCTCACAGCCTCCCCGACTGTTTTTTAAGACTAGAAATTCGCTCAGTGGTAGAGTACATATTTGTCATGTATGAAGCCCTAGGTTGTATTAAAAAAAAAAAACAATAAAAAAGAGGAGAAAATTTTAGTTATGCCACTCTATTGACATTTCATTGATTCATAGAGTTTACATGGTGTTTTTTTTTTCCTTCACTCGTGGGGCTTGAACTCTGGGCCTGGGCGCTGTCCCTCAGCTCTTCAGCTCAAGGCTAGCGCTCTACCACTTGAGCCACAGCGCCACTTCCGGCTTTTTTCTTTTTGCTTATGCGGTGCTCAGGAATCAAACCCAGGGCCTCATGCATGCAAGGCAAGCACTCTACCACTGAGCCACCTTCCCAGCCCTCTTTTAGGTTTTATATAGAGAAAATACATATGAATATAAAATATATCAATATATAATATATAAATATATGATATATATATATAGGATATATGTATGTACACATGCATATATGTGTATATCTATATATGTTATTTGAGCTGTCTGGTTGTATACTAGAAAAGACATTAAAGCAACACTTACTGCTTACTGCTACTTATTTATAGCATTTGGACATTCTACTTGAAGTTTTTCTTTTTACCTGTTGCTTGTTCTCTTTGTTATAGGTGACAATTTGCCTGACACAGGAGCTGGATCAGTTATGCCTTCAGAAACTTCAAGTCAGCCCAATATAGCCTATTCATCAAACCAGCCAATTGGCTCCCAACTGGTTTCTAACATCCCACAGGCTGATATAAATGTTCCAGGGCTAATTTATCCATCTCAGCAATTAGTAGGACATTGCCAGCAAATTTCAGGGGTGAGGTGATATGTTAGATTTTTAATATACAATCATATATTTCCTAAAATGGAAAAGTTTATTCTTAATGTTTTCCCCCTTATTTCACAGTTGCCGATGCAGCCAAACCTAACTCAGCCCCAAGTTTTACCTGTGGTTCAAGGTCAGTCTTCTGTTTTGCCTGTACAAGTTGTTGGACCTACAGTTGTTTCACAGCCACAAGTTTCTCCATTATCTACCCAGAAGATCTCACAGGTAAATGTAATACCTGTTTTTATAAGCTATATATTAATTTAAACAAATATAATACTGCCTAGATGTTTCTGTTCTTTTTTGTGCTGGTACTGGGCCTTGAACTCAGGGCTTCACACTCTTGCTTAGCATTTTTGCTCAAGGCTGGCACTCCACCACTTGAGACACACCTGTACTTCCAGATTATATTTTTACTGGTTAACTGGAGGTAAGAGTCTCTCATATTTGTCTCCTTAGGCTGTCTGTGAACCATGATCCTCAGATTTCACTGTCTCCTGAGTACCTAGGATTACAGGCCTGGTCTACTAGTGCCCCTGTCTAGATTTTTCTGACAAGCAAAGATTCTCTTTCCTAAATTTATCATACTGCCCGGCGCCGGTGGCTCACGCCTGTAATCCTAGCTACTCAGGAAGCTGAGATCTGAGGATCGCGGTTCAAAGCTAGCCCAGACAGGAAAGTCCGTGAGACTCCTATCTCCAATAAACCACTAGAAAACCGGAAGTAGTGCTATGGCTCAAGCGGTAGAGCGCTCGTCTTGAGCTGAAGAACAAAATGACAGCGCCCAAGCCCAGAGTTCAAGCCCCACGACCAACAAAAAAAAAAATGTTGGGCTGGGAAGGTGGCTCAGTGGTAGAGCGCTTGCCTTGCATGCCTGAGGCCCTGGGTTCGATTCCTCAGCACCACATAAGCAAAAAGCCGGAAGTGGTGCTGTGGCTCAAGTGGTAGAGCACTAGCCTTGAGCTGAAGAACTGAGGGACAGCGCCCAGGCCTAGAGTTCAGGCCCCATGACTAGACCCCCCCCAAAAAAATGTTATAGTAGTTTAGATAAAGGTTACCGAGCGCTAAAAGTTAGTTTATGCTTTCTTACATTCAAGACATTTCTCTTGAGGATGCACCTAATGTAGTATAAGTAGAATCTAGAAGCACTACTTGTATAATTAGAGAAGAAACAGCAAACTCAGTATGTAGACAAAAGATCTATTTAGAACTCTAATTTCTTTTTCTTTGTTAAATAGTGTTTTTCTTCATATTGTCCTTTTCCAGCTTGACAGTAGAGGTCTATGTGTTGCAGTTAATTAGAAGTTGTTTCTCATAGACCTTCATATTTTTTAGCACATTCCTCTACATTCTTGGCTTGATTTTGGTTCGTGTTTATTTCTATTGGAGAAATAAGGAAAAGCGTTTTGACTTTCAAACTCATGAAGTCAGTATTACTCATTTCTGACAATGAGTAAACAGTTTTTGAGTTCATGTATTCACATTGTGTCCTGGTTGCCTAAGTTATGGACTCTGAACACATGATTGGGCTTTTCTTTGCTGTTACTAATTTTCTGCCTCTTCACACACCTCGTTACCATTTCCTGAATGTGCCTTTCCTGTGTGGGAGTCAGATGGTCTAAGCCTTTCGCAGTGTCTACCAGCTGGTTTCTTTTTATGAGATTGATGTATAGTCGATTCTAGTTAAGCAACAAACTTTTAATGATTGCTACCTTCTGGGGTTATAAAAAACTTATGATATGAGGGGCTGGGGTTTTAGCCCAGCGGAAGGGTGCCCACCAGGCGCGCACAAGGCCCTGGGTTCGGTCCTCAGCCCTGGAAAAAAAAATTTTGATATGATCCTTGCCCTCAAAGAGGTCACAATCTTATAGGAGAAAGCATACACATACTTGGCAAATGCCTACAGTCTGCTGGAAGTAGATTTAGTCTGATATAGTTGAGTGTGCCTAGTATTTGGAAAGTGTTTATGAGTGATATGGTAAGTATCTATAATTGAGATGAATGTGTGGTTGATTTATCTCTTTCTACAAATATACTATAAAGTATGTTGAATGGATGCCTGGATTTAATTTAGGTTTAGCCACATATGTATAGAGACGTGTATTTAATTAAGTCTTGGTTCCAGAATTTAAAGAAGTTTACAAGACTGTTCTGGAATATTTTTTTGCTTATTGAAAAATAATGCCTGTGTCAGGTATGGTGGCATTCATCTGAAATCTTAAAACTTGGGAGGCTGAGACAAGAGGATTGTAACTTTGAGGCCAACCTGAGCTACATAGTGAGTACCAGGTCAGTCTGGGCTGCATAGTGAGACCCCATCTTTTTAAAAAAAGTGGTAATAATAATAAATAACTTTAAAATGATGCCCATAAAATTAGGAAGAAGTGACAATTACCTGTTATCCCTCTTACTAGAGATCACTTGCTGTTAGTGTTTGAGGATATAGCCTTTGGATTTCTCTTTTCTCTATAAAATACATGATTTTATAGACCCAAATTTCTATTGTACTGGTATTTTTGGTAGTCTGTCCTTATCAACTACTATGTAAAAAGCACCTAAGCAATCATTTCACATTTGGCCTTTTCTGAACATGGTGGCCCAAGCTCTAGGAGTCATTACAGACAATGTACATTTATTAATCAGTCCTCTCCTGACTTTCTGAGAGAACACTTATGTTCACTTTACAGTATTGAAACCCTTTGAGTTTTCTCTTAGGACTTTTACTGGCTTGTATGTGAAGATAACCAGTTCTTTTAATCTGTGTCAGAGTTTCAATGAGTTAAATGTGGTAAGTGCAATAAACAAGAAAGCATGAGCAGTATATTGCTGGGACTACTCTCAGATGCTTCATGTATTCAACTCACATTTACTCATGGAATTTTATAAACCTAATGCTATATCACCTTTTGGGTAATTTGAGGAACATTTTAAAATACAGCACTATTTTATCAGTCTGTTTGGAACAGTCCCATTAAATGGGCACGGTATGTGCATTTGTAATTTGAATTTTCCTTGCACCAACACTAGGAACTGCAGCTGGCCCTTGGATCAGATGAACAAACTTCAACCCAACACGTGACTTTAGACTTGTCCGTTACTGAAATTCCACAACCAATCCCTTCTGCTGTTTTTCCTCAGACATTGCCTACTTCACAGATGACTTTCCAGCATCCAACAGTTGGTCTTCAACTTGAGCCTGGCCCCACATGGGAATCAGGCATTAACTAAAGCACCAGATGCCAATCAGCCTTCTAGTTCCTTCCCGGTTAATCACTCTCGAGCTTTGTTGAATCATTCTTCTGCCCAGTATATTAGCAGTGCACAGAATGCAGCTTGCATTGTTCAGCTTCCTTCTGATTCAATTGTGGGGCATTCATGGGTCTTTCAGCCTTCACCAAAGGTACACTTAATATCACAGCCATACCAGTGATACATCAGAAATGAACAACTCCAAGTTTTTCAGTGCCACAAAACCAGATTGTGCATTTGAAGGAACCTTACTTCCAAGCCTCTGTTCTGCAGCAGCCATTATTTTTACAACCTAAGATTATGTTAGCTCCACAGAAAAATGTTCAGCAGGATTGTATTCTGCAGGAGTATGAAGCCCTTATAAGTCAGCAGCAACCAAAGGTTGGTATTGAAAGTGTGACTCAGTCCAGGGAACAGCCATCTTACTCTGTTGACCACACTTATCCAGTCCCATTCACAGAACTACCACCTTTCCCACTGAAGGCTCCTGAGCAGCTGTCCTTTGTGACACATCCCCAGGAACAAACTTTTTATTCCCCACAGTCAACTTACCCAAGGCCAGCTGCAGTACAGCCTATGACTTCACTGCTAGCCCCAGAGCATCTATCTACTTGACACTATACAATCCCAGTCAGCCAACTCCATGCAGACTTCTTAACCAGGCCAACCTTCAGTACAGTCCACTTGTCTTGTGCAGACAGACTAACTGGCATATGTAATCCGGTCAGTTCACCCTAGGAAGCCTATGAATCAGCCTGCTTCTCAGACACTGCCTATTGAACGTGTCTTTAACTCAGAACAGACTGTTTACACCATCCAGGTAACTGAACAGACAACCTTCATAACCCAGCAAGTATACACAGTAAACCCTCCAGAGAGTAAACACATACATATTACAAACTCTGCAACTGAGAAGTTAGACTCTGTACCATCTTGTGTAACACAGACTTCTGAACAAGAAACCTATTTGATACAACTCAAAGACAGTACTTCTTTAACATTGGAGCAAAAGATGTACTTGACACCACCCTCAAGTGCATAGACACATTCTACTGTGCCTTTATTTGGTGTTCAACATTTAGTGTCTACATCCCAAGCAAATGTCAGTTTGGGATACCAGCAACTAAAATCTCAAGCCCAGTCATTTAGCATTACATCTCAGGGGGAAGTAGAGGAAAAATTCAATACCTTGACCTTCATTCAGCAGACCTCTTCATAGGCCCAGTTCCAGCCCCCTCATTTCCCCCCACAGCTATCCCAATCACATTTAATGCCAAGCCAGGCTTCTCACTCAGCTTTCATTCAGCATCAGCAGATGACTCATTCATCTCATAGACAAGCACAGAAGATTCATCAGTTGCCTACTCAAGAAGGTTCCATAAATAAGCAGCAGTGTTTGTAGCCAACATTCTTCTGCTTCACAGCAGCAGCAGATACCTGTTTGGCAGGCACCTATCCAAGTTCAGCCATTACCAGGTATTCCACAGACCATTCCAAACACACTCCCTTTACCTCCCTTGTAACAATAGTTGCTGCCAGTGGCAGTAGAACAGCAATATCAAATACAACCTTTAGAGCAGCCTCAAGTATTTCAGGCATTAAACAGTAGTAAGACTTTTCCCCCACCATAAAAACCAGTGCAGCACCAGCCAGCATGCCTCCAGCAGCAGTGGGCTGGCTAGCCCACAGTGGCAGCCATTTTCTAGTTTAGCATCTGTTCCTGGCTTCTCAGAGCCACAATTACAACAACAGATCCTCTATCAAAACTCTGGGATAGCGCTTCAAAATCAGATGTCATCTTTTGTTTACCTTCTTTCTGAGCATTCGAGTACAGGCTTCCACTACCTGTCAGAACATTTCTGTGTTACAAACACAGCAGTATTTACAAGGCCAAGAAATTCTGAAGGTAAATCCTCCTGGGGGAACAATGCACATTACTAATTTTTTTTCTGTTGTGTTCCAGGATCAGAGAGAGAGTGAGC